TCCCTTTATCCCTAATTGCCCTCTACCTTCCAGTGTAAATGGGGGATTTTTCCCTTTCTCATTTCCTGCATCTCTGAGCACGCTCTGCTTGTTTCTGCATCTCTTGAATGACCTGTCTGCAGCTTCACTTTGCTTTATTTGATAATATGCCTGTGTAGCATATACAAAGGGGCTATTACAGGCTCACTTGATAGCCCAAGTAGTTCTGTAGGCTCTTGAACATTTTCACATTGCTGGCATTTGTCAGGATGCGGCCTTCTACTTGTTGGGTGGGTGGAGCTTCAGCCAGGACCCTCTATTTAAGTATGTAAATAAGTTTTAAATGTAAGGGGACAGGGAGCACTTGTATGTGTAGATTATGGATTTGCATGTTTCACTTGCTTTGCAGTACTCTACTCTCAGTATCCTATAAATCAGTTCACTGAGGGGTAGGTTTGATTGTGAACCTATAAGACAATGTTTTAATCGCTTTTAATTTTTTTTTTTGGAGCGGGGGGGATTAAAATGTTAAATGGTCAACCCTAAAACCACATAAATCTCCATATCTTACATAACACAAAAATAAATTATAGAGTCAAACAACAATCTAAATCACTGACAAAATCAATTCTGTTACAGAGGCATTGTCTAGATCTGCTCCATAGATACCTGGTTATTCTTGGGGGGAGGCCCAAACTGGATTTGTATTTTGCAGTCCAAGCAAGCTGTCAGTTCCGTCCATGTAGAAATCTTTCTCAAAATGTCATCACTTTTTCTGATACATATTGCAAATGAATTAGAACAGGAAAAGCCTCTTTTCCCCTGCTAAAGAAATACAGAGGTGAAAGATTAGTTAGGATTATCTATGAGGAAACTGAAGGGCTTTGTGGAGAGAGAAATATTTATGTTTTAAGTTAGGGTTTTTACATAGCTTCATTTTACATTTTGCATCAGTACCAGCCTTATTTGTGATTCTTAACAAATGATAAGATCCTAGGAAAATAGGACTGGAAGGGACCTAATGAGGTCATTTAGCTCAGTTCTCTGCTCAAGGCAGGAGCATTGCTGACTAAACGATCTCAGCCAAGTGTCTGTCCAACCTACCTTTGAAAATTTCCAAGGATGGGGATTCCACAACTTTTTTTAAGTCTCCTGTTCTGGTGCCTGACCATCCTCATAGTCAAAGGTCCTTGAAATCTCCAACCTAAATTTTTCTGTACTGCAGCTTCAGTCCTTAAAGTTCAGCCAGTTCTCCTAGACTCCTTTTCCCCTCAGACTTGCCTCCCAGGGGATCCTGCCCACCAATTCCCTGAGTTTGTTGAAGTCTGCTTTATTGAAATCCAGGGTCTTTCTTCTGCTGTTCTCCTTCGTTCCCCCTTTTAGGATCATTTCATGTTCACTGTCATCCAAGTTACATTCCTTCTTGTTTGTGACCAGTCACTCTAGAAGAGTTTCCCTCTCTAGCTGGCTTCTCTACCATCTACCTCTCTACCACCTGTATCAAAAAGTTATCCCCAGTAGACTCCAGGAATTGATGATAATTCTTCATTAATAATAAGGCCTTTTATTGTTTGGGAGCAAAAGAGGCAGAGAGTAAACTTTCTCCTGCTTCTAACTTGCTTCTTAGTTGTAGAAGCCATTATTATAGTAGAAAGGGCCATAAGAAACTGTGTTTGCATAATACAAAGGGGAGCAGAGATAGGGGCTTTATATTGAAGAGTGAGGCAGGTGTGATCATTGGGAATCTGACAGATAAGACACACTGCTGCCTCTCTGTTAGTAATGCAGTGCCAGTTTGCAGGTGCACTGGAATAGCTGTGTAGTTGTCACATGCTACCATATTTCAGTCATGCTTCCTACATAATTTTATAAAGGCTTGTTTCCAGGAATGTGTGCATGCATACTTTTTAGAACAAGCTGAAAGCGTGTCCATGGCTGCCTCCTAAAGGAAAGTGAGATCAGTGATTTGGTACTATTTGGCTATCTTCTTGGCCTTCATCATAGTGATGAACACCTTTAGAGCAACCCAGGGTGGCTGATCTGTCTAAAAGCTCACTCAGGGGAAAGAATGGACAAATTTGGATTATTTAGTCTAGAAAAGATGAAACTGAGGAAAGACTTGATGACGGTCTTCTTCAAATACAAAAATAATTGCTTAAAGAGGAGATAGACATAATGGACGATTAATTTCTTCAGGGGACAGGACAAGGAGTAATAGATTTAAATTGCAACAAGGGAGATTTAGGTTGGGTATTAGGAAGAAGTTTCTCGGTATAAGGGTGGCTAAACACTGGAGTGGATTGCTTAGACGGAGATGTATTCTCTCTGGAATTCTCTTATGTGCAGGTTATATGGACATGTTTCTGGCTGAGATGGATAAATCCTGTTGTGTGCATGGAGAGCTGGACTAGATAACCTTTTAAGGGCCCTTCCAGTCCTACTTTTCTTTGGTTCCTAAAAACAGGAAAATGCTTAGAAACAGTTTATTTCAGGAATTTATTCATAAAAGGCATCATCTAGTTCAGAGGCTTAGCAATGGTGCATATGATGTCTGTTTGTTAAGTTACTGATTAGATCTCATCCAAGGCACTAGTAATCAAACAAATGGCCATTTTTCCAGTCTTTGGTAGCTTTTATGAATAGCACTCATGATCTTTTTCTGTTCTTAATTGTCCTGCATTTGCATGTCCCTTGTTGAGTGCTACCAATATGCTTGGTTCTGTATGAGATGCACTGGGCTGACATCTCCTATCTAGTAGAGTTTACAGTTTAAACTAGAAAAAAGACTGTATATTAAAACAAAAACATACAGTTTCCATTGATAGTAATTACTACTAAGATTAACAGCCTCAGAGGATTCAAAAGATTGAGGGGTGAATCAAAAGGAGTCTATCCCATTATGTAAGAAGGGAGGTAAGGGGGCAAAAAGGCCCCTTGGCTGAACAGGGAACTCCAGGTGATTCTGGGGGCAAAGAAAGAGATGTATAGGCAATGGAAGCAGAGAGCAGCCACCAAGGAGGAATATATCTCCCTGGTGCGCTGTTGCAAGGAATCAGTTAGACAGGCCAAGGTGGGGCTTGAGCTCAGGCTGGCTTCAACAATCAAGGACAATAAAAAGTCCTTCTTCAGGTATATAGCGGGCAAAAGGAAAGCTCAGAGCAACATAGGGCCCCTGCAGGACAAATCAGGACAGTTAGTGGTTGACGCGGGGGGAAAAAAGCAGAGCTCTTCAATGAGTTCTTCGCTTCAGTATTTCTAAGTACCGACCAAGCCAGTTCCTGCACCTCGATCATTGACGGATGTCCTCATGGCACCAGTCCACCTACGGTTAGTTCTGAAATAGTTAAGCAGCTCTTGGAGGAGCTGGATGGGTACAAGTCAGCAGGCCCAGATGACCTCCATCCGCAGCTGCTGAAAGAATTGGCCAGTGTCATAGCTGAGCCGCTGGCACAGCTGTTTGAGCACTTGCGGTGCTCCAGCCAGGTCCCTGAGGACTGGAGAAGGGCCAATGTGGTGCCCATTTTCAAGAAAGGGAGA